GACCGTTAGTGACGGTTGGTGACCGTTAGTGACGGTTGGTGACCGTTAGTGACGGTTGGTGACCGTTAGTGACGGTTGGTGACCGTTAATGACGGTTGGTGACCGTTAATGACGGACGGGGGTTGGAAACTGGATAATGGCCGCCGGAAAATCACTTACGACAACTGAGGCTCGTCAGAAACCCGTTAATTTTAGAACCGTTGCCAAAAAAAGATATTTTATCTATTTTTATCTATTTTTTATCTGCTTTTATCTATTTTTAATTATTTTTATAAATTTTTACTTATTTTTTTATCTATTTTTTATTATTTTTATAAATTTTTACTTATTTTTTTATCTATTTTTAATTATTTTTATAAATTTTTACTTATTTTTTTATCTATTTTTTATTATTTTTATAAATTTTTACTTATTTTTTTATCTATTTTTTATTATTTTTATAAATTTTTACTTATTTTTTTATCTATTTTTAATTATTTTTTGTATTTTTACTTATTTTTATCTATTTTTAATTATTTCAATTATTTTTTTTCATATATCTTTTTATCTATCTTTATCTATTTTGACATAATTTACCGACCTTTTCGTATGTTCCGTTAGTTACCGTTAAAGACCGTTAGTTACCTTTAATTACCGTTAAAGGCCGTAGGTTACCGTCAGTTACCGATAGAACCCGTTAGATACCGTTAATTGCCGTTAAAGGCCATAGGTTACCGTTAGCTACCGATAAAAGAAGTTAGATTCCGTTAGTTACCGTTAAAGGCCATTAGTTACCGTTACAGGCCGTTAGTTACCGTTACAGGCCGTTAGTTACCGTTAAAGGCCATTAGTTATCATTACAGGCCGTTAGTTACCGTTAAAGGCCATTAGTTATCATTACAGGCCATTAGTTACCGTTACAGGCCATTAGTTACCGTTACAGGCCGTTAGTTACCGTTAAAGGCCGTTGGTTATCGTTAAAGGCCGTTAGCTACCGTTAAAGGCCGTTAGTTGATGCTGGGACTGCTATTGAACGTTAGAGGCCGTTGCTAAGATACCTGGGAGGGGGGAGGGAGAGAGAGAGAGAGAGAGAGAGAGAGAGAGAGAGAGAGAGAGAGGAGAGAGGAGAGAGAGAGAGAGAGAGAGAGAGAGAGAGAGAGAGAGAGAGAGAGAGAGAGAGAGAGAGAGAGAGAGAGAGAGAGAGAGAGAGAGAGAGATGGGTAAATGTGACGAGAACTAAGAGAGAGAAGGAAGAGGAGAATAAGAGGAACGAGAGGCAGAATAAGAGGAAGAAAGGTTGAATAAGTGTAAAGAAAGGGAGAATAAGGGGAAAGAAAAATAGAATAAGGGTGAAGAAAGGGAGAATAAGATAAAAAATGGAGAATAAGAGGAAGAAGAAACTGAATAATGACATAACAGACTGTGTGATGAAAGAGTAACAAGAGATGGTGAAGAACGTTCACGTCCAGGCAATGAACGTTTACGTCCAGGCAATGAACGTTTACGTCCAGGCAATGAACGTTTACGTCCAGGCAATGAACGTTTACGTCCAGGCAATGAACGTTTACGTCCAGGCAATGAACGTTTACGTCCAGGCAATGAACGTTTACGTCCAGGCAATGAACGTTTACGTCCAGGCAATGAACGTTTACGTCCAGGCAATGAACGTTTACGTCCAGGCAATGAACGTTTACGTCCAGGCAATGAACGTTTACGTCCAGGCAATGAACGTTTACGTCCAGGCAATGAACGTTTACGTCCAGGCAATGAACGTTTACGTCCAGGCAATGAACGTTTACGTCCAGGCAATGAACGTTTACGTCCAGGCAATGAACGTTTACGTCCAGGCAATGAACGTTTACGTCCAGGCAATGAACGTTTACGTCCAGGCAATGAACGTTTACGTCCAGGCAATGAACGTTTACGTCCAGGCAATGAACGTTTACGTCCAGGCAATGAACGTTTACGTCCAGGCAATGAACGTTTACGTCCAGGCAATGAACGTTTACGTCCAGGCAATGAACGTTTACGTCCAGGCAATGAACGTTTACGTCCAGGCAAGAACGTTTACGTCCAGGCAATGAACGTTTACGTCCAGGCAATGAACGTTTACGTCCAGGCAATGAACGTTTACGTCCAGGCAATGAACGTTTACGTCCAGGCAATGAACGTTTACGTCCAGGCAATGAACGTTCACGACCAGGCAAGAACGTTCACATCCAGGCAAGAACGTTCACGTCCAGGCAATGAACGTTCACGTCCAGGCAATGAACGTTCACGTCCAGGCTATGAACGTTCACGTTCAGGCAATGAACGTTCACGTCCAGGCAAGAACGTTCACGTCCAGGCAATGAACGTTCACGTCCAGGCAATGAACGTTCACGTCCAGGCTATGAACGTTCACGTTCAGGCAATGAACGTTCACATCCAGGCAAGAACGTTCACGTCCAGGCAATGAACGTTCACGTCCAGGCAATGAACGTTCACGTCCAGGCTATGAACGTTCACGTTCAGGCAATGAACGTTCACGTCCAGGCAAGAACGTTCACGTCCAGGCAATGAACGTTCACGTCCAGGCAATGAACGTTCACGTCCAGGCTATGAACGTTCACGTTCAGGCAATGAACCTTCACGTCCAGGCAAGAACGTTCACGTCCAGGCAATGAACGTTCACGTCCAGGCAATGAACGTTCACGTCCAGGCAAGAACGTTCACGTCCAGGCAATGAACGTTCACATCCAGGCAATGAACGTTCACGTCCAGGCAATGAACGTTCACGTCCAGGCAAGAACGTTCACGTCCAGGCAATGAACGTTCACATCCAGGCAATGAACGTTCACGTCCAGGCAATGAACGTTCACGTCCAGACAAGAACGTTCACGTCCAGGCAAAAATGTTCACGTCCAGGCTATGAACGTTCACATCCAGGCAATGAACGTTCACGTCCAGTCAATAACGTTCACGTCCAGGCTATGAACGTTCACGTCCAGGCAAGAACGTTCACGTCCAGTCAAGACAGCTCACGTCCAGGCAAGAACGCTCACGTCCAGGCTATGAACGTTCACGTCCAGGCAATGAACGGTCACGTCCAGGCAAGAACGTTCACGTCCAGGCTATGAACGTTCACGTCCAGGCAATGAACGATCATGTCCAGGCAAGAACGTTCACGTCCAGGCCAGAACGTTCACGTCCAGGCTATGAACGTTCACGTCCAGGCAATGAACGTTCATGTCCAGACAATGAACGTTCACGTCCAGGCAAGAACGTCCACGTCCAGGCAAGAAAGTTCACGTCCAGGCAAGAACGTTCACGTCCAGGCTATGAGCGTTCACGTCCAGGCAAGAACGTTCACGTCCAGGCAAGAACGTTCACGTCCAGGCAAGAACGTTCACCAACGTCACAGAGAACGCCAGAAAGAGCGGGGGAAAATGGGAAAAACGCGAGAGAACGCGAGAAAAAATGAGAAAAAGGCAAGAAACCGCGAGAAACCGCGAAAAGAGCCGAGAGAACGCGAGAAAGTGGAAAAACGCGAGAGAAAGAGAAAGAACGCAAGAAAACGTGTGATAACATGCTAAAGAGAACAAGATGAAAACGAGAACAGGAGAGAATAGACAGGCGGCAAAACGGGAACAACGGAGCAGTGGTAAACGGGAAAATCAGAGAGAAAAAACAGAGACCAAGCACGAAAGAAAGAAAAAACGTATGAAAAATAAAATAAGACAAAATGGAAAAAACGTGAGATAAAAAATATAAAATAAATCAGAAAGGAAAAGAAAGAAAATAGAGAGAGAGAGAGAGAGAGAGAGAGAGAGAGAGAGAGAGAGGAGAGAGAGAGAGAGAGAGAGAGAGAGAGAGAGAGAGAGAGAGAGAGAGAGAGAGAGAGAGAGAGAGAGAGATGAAAAACACATTCCTCACCGGCAATATGTGACGAAGCCTACAGATCAGCCTTGGTTTGGCTTTCGTTGTAGAGAGGCTGCTACTGCTAGGTACAAAGCATGGCGAAGGTATAAGAGACATCCTACCACCTATAACAGGAACTTGCACAAGCAAGCCTATAGGCATATGGGTGACGTTCAAAAGTGGGCCATTGCTAAATGGGAGGTGGACACTAAAAGAAAGCTAGCATCAGGTAGGGTAGGCTCCAAAACCTGGTGGTCCCTGGTCAAGGACAGACAAGGTTATCTGCCTGATGAACTTATTCCACCTCTAAATCGACAGGATGGGACCACCTCTACTAGTAGTCAAGAGAAGGCGGACCTCTTTGCTGAACACTTTGCTACCAAAATGCAAGTTCCTGATCCAGAAAGGGACCCTCCTTGGCTAGCTGCAAGAACTGTGTCAAAACTGTCAGTGGTAACAATAAGGCAGGAGGAGGTGCATTTCCTACTTAAATCGCTTGACCAAGAAAAGGCTGTGGGCCCAAACAAGTTGAGGCCAAGATTGTTGAGAAGATGTGCAGACCAGCTAGCAGCACCTCTAACTCGCATCTTTCAGCACTGCATAGTACAGTGTAAATGGCCCTCTCTATGGCCCTCTGTTCACAAAAAGAAGAGCAGAGCAGGAATCAGCAACTACAAACCAGTGTCACTCCTGTCAATCACTGGTAAGATCCTTGAGACAATAATCTCAAGACAAATGACAGAGTTTCTTGACTACCACTCACTACTTTGTGATCGTCAATATGACTTCAGGAAAGGTTACTCTGCTGCTGATCTGTTGTTAAACCTCTCCACTAAGTGGCACCAGTCACTGGATGAATCCAAAGTCAGCTGTGTGGTAGCACTGGACATTGCTGGCGCTTTCGACCGGGTGTGGCACCAGGGCCTCTTAGCAAAACTTCAAGCACTGGGAATTGCAGGCTCTATGCTATGTCTCCTCAGTGATTACCTTCATGGTAGATCTCTAAGGGTAGTTCTCAATGGAACGGAATCAGCAAGACATCCTATTGGGGCAAGTGTTCCACAAGGAAGCGTGCTGGGTCCATTGTTATGGAATGTCTACTTCAACAACCTTCTTTATCTCATCCCAGAATCACATGCATATGCAGACGACTGTACACTGACATTCACTTATGCAAGAGAAGAAATGCCAGCTGCTCTAAGCTACATCAATCACCAGCTGAGAGCTATATCAGCTTGGGGAAATAGATGGCAAGTAACACTTGCACCTGAGAAAACGCAAATGATCGTCTCTAGGCACCATGATGGTTATGCTGGTAGTAGTAAGGATGAATGGGAGGGTGTTGGCACCTGGAGAAGAAGTTGATATCCTTGGGGTGAAATTTGACTCCAAACTAACCATGAAGAACCATGTTGTAAATCTTGCAAACAAGGCAACCAGGAAGCTTACAGCACTTCGCCGTATCTCGCATCTGCTTGACAGTAGGGGTTGCAAGATCCTGTACGAGGCGCAAGTACGCTCACACCTTGAGTATGCTCCACTTTCTTGGTTTGCCTGGCCCCCCTCTCATCTGCGACTGCTTGACAGAGTAGAGAACAGAGCAAGACGTCTCATCTCTCGCCTGGACCCATCCTGGATAGATCTGTCATTTCAGCAGAGCCTTCAACATAGGAGGGATGTGGGTGGCCTTACTGTTGTGTACAAGGCCAATATTGTCAAAATACCACACTTGGATCCACTTCGAGGACAGCGTGAAACAAGTTTTTATGCCACAAGACGGGCAGAAAGCAGCAACTTCACTCTGGCTGTACCCTTCTCCAGAACATCACTCCATCTGAGATCATACATACCCAGGATGACTCGAGTATGGAACACATTCGTACAGCATAATGATGTCAACGAGATAAAGTCAGTTGATCAAATGAAAATGCTGGCCCACAGATGGCTCCAACTTCATCCTGTTCCCTACTTGTATGTCTCTTAACAATAAAAATGTTTTCAAATGAGCTGATGTAGGTAACAGCTCTTAGCTTGTCAATAAAGTTAGGAATCCTTAACCTGTAAATAGCTTGTCAATAAAGGTAGGGATCCTTAACCTTGTCAAACCCTGTGTAAAAAAAAAAAAAAAAAAAAAAAGAGAGAGAGAAGAGAGAGAGAGAAGAGAGAGAGAGAGAGAGAGAGAGAGAGAGAGAGAGAGAGAGAGAGAGAGAGAGAGAGAGAGAGAGAGAGGAGAAGAGAGAGAAAGAGAGAGAGAGAGAGAGAGAGAGAGAGAGAGAGAGAGAGAGAGAGAGAGAGAGAGAGAGAGAGAGAGAGAGAGAGAGAGAGAGAGAGAGAGAGAGAGAGAGAGAGAAGATTAAGAACAACAAATGAAATATTTGTACTGAGCATAAATTACGTTCAAATCCAGCTTGCACTATCACCATCCTCCTTCCCTCCTTCCTTTCCTCCTTCCTTCCTTCCTTCCTTCCCTCCTTCCTTCCCCCCTTTCCCTCCCTCCCTTCCTCCCTCCAACATTCACTATCACCACCTACAAACCTTCGTAAACAGACAATTCCCTTGTAACCCAACACACATAAACCTCCGAATCTCGCCGACTGGACTCTCTCTTCCAGACACTCTCAACTCACTCTTTCTGGAAGACTGTTAGTGTCCTTCCAGCCAGTGTTCTTCCAGACGCTCCCATTCCACTATTCTTGGAACACTGGCGTGTTCTTCCAGCCCGTGTTCTTCCAGACACTCTCACTCCACTATTCTTGGAACACTGGATGTTCTCCCAGCCAGTGTTCTTCCAGACACTCAACTCACTCTTTCTGCACAACTGTTAGTGTCCTTCCAGCCAGTCTTCTTCCAGACACTCTCAACTCACTCCTACTGGAACACTGGATGTTCTTCCAGCCAGTGCTCTTCCTAACACTCTCAACTCACTCGTCCCGGAACAATGGTAGTATCCTTCCAGCCAGTGTTCTTCCAGACACTCTCACTCCACTATTCTTGGAACACTGGTAGTGTCCTTCCAGCCACTGTTCTTCCAGACATTCTCAACTCACTCTTCCTGTAACTCTGGCAGTGTCCTTCCAGCCAGTATTGTACCAGACACCTTCAGTTCACTATTCCTGGAACACTGGTAGTGTCCTTCCAGACATTCTCAACTCACATTCTCAACTCACTCTTCCTGGAACATTGGTAGGGTTCTTCCAGCCAGTATTCTACCAGACACCTCAACTCACTCTTCCTGGAACACTGGTAGTGTCCTTCCAGACATTCTCAACTCACTCTTCCTGGAACACTGGCAGTATCCTTCCAGACATTCTCAACTCACTCTTCCTGGAACACTGGTAGTATCCTTCCAGACATTCTCAACTCACTCTTCCTGGAACACTGGTAGTGTCCTTCCAGTCAGTGCTCTTCCAGGCACTCTCATCCTACTCTTGGAACATTGGTAGTGTCCTTCCAGGCACTCTCACACCACTCTTCCTAGAGCGCTGATGATACAAGATGGAGCACTTACCTGGCTGTGAATCCCCTGGGGCAGTCAACATGCACGGCGGCCTGGAAAAGCACAGCCCACACCAGCCAATACGTTCTGAAGAGAGAGAACTTGTGGTCCCTGGGAGGCGCCATCTGCACGAGTGAGAAGCAGAGAGGACAGTCAAGCCTCGCTAATGATTACATTATTAGGAGGTAGACTAAGGTAATTCCTGCGTCTACATTACACTCTTTTTCTCGTTGTTTAGATTTTAGACTTTGTTTACTGCAGAGTTACGATAACAACAACAACAACAACAACAACAACAACAATAATAATAATAATAATAATAATAATAATAATAATAATAATAATAATAATAATAATAATAATAATGATAATAATAATAATAATTGAAGCGTCGCTAAGGCAGTTGTAAATAAAAAGTCTTGATTTAATTAAAAAACGTATTAAAAAGCATAAATAATATATATTAAAATTAAACTGATAAGCGATACAGTAATGACTACGTGTTCTCACTTATTTGTTGGCGGGGTTATAGCTCCTGGTGCCAACTATTACATCTTTGGCCTTCAGGCTCCGGCTCCGATCATACCTACCCTTGAAACTGTTTACGGGCCTTTCAACGTATTCTTTGGAACGTAGGCGAGAAAGATACATAATAATTACACCTTGTAAAATTCTGAAGGGACTGATTCCAAATCTGCGAGCTGGAATCATGAAAAGAAGAGGATCGGAAGACGGTGCAAAATAACCCAGTGAACAGGAGTACCATGAGTACACTGTGAGATAACACAATAAATGTAAAGGGTCCAAAACTCTTCAACAGCCTCCTCTCATACACAAGGAAAATTGTCAACATAGCCATGGCTGAAGACTGAAACACTTATGCAACATTTGGGAATCTTTATTAAGGACACGTTTCACCACACAGTGACTTCATCAGTCCAATACAAAGCAGAAAAGGGGTAAGGAGAGGAGGAGGTTGAGACAATCAGTTTTTCAGCCTGGAATTGATGTGTTCAGTCCATCACTCTTGTAGAACACATCGATTCCAGGCTGAGGGACTGATTACCTCAAACCCCTCCTCTCCTTAAGCCCTTTTTGTTTTGTATCGGACTGATGAAGCCACTGTGTGGCTAAACGTTTCCTTAATAAAGATTCCCAAATGTTGCATAAGTATCTCAATCTTCAACTTGTCGGTATTCAAAACCATTTATCACATAGCCATGGCTGCCTTCGAAGGAGAACCTGAGAAGTTTCTGAAATCTTCCTGAACCTAACATAAGAAAGGGGTAACACTGCAGGAGGCCTACTGGCCCAAGAAATAAGCTTTGATGACTCTATTAAGACTCGTGTGCAAGTCCCACTTACAACCCCTCTCACTCATGTATTTATCTAAGCTATATCTGAAGCTACGCAAGGTTTTAGCTTCAATAACCCAACTAGGCAGCCTGTTCCACTCATCAACTACTCTATTTCCAAACCAATACTTTCCTATATCCTTTCTAAATCTAAACTTATCTAATTTGAATCAATTATTTTGGGAAGGATATCCTCAGGAACTTATTTGTACCTCCGTTGTTACTGCCCATCATCCACTTATACACTTCGATCAGGTCTCCCCTCATTCTTCGTCTAACAAGTGAATGTAACTTAAGAGTCTTCAATCTTTCTTCATAAGGAAGATTTCTAATGCTATGTATTAATTTAGTCATCCTACGCTGAATGTTTTCTAACGAATTTATGTCCATTTTGTAATATGGAGACCAGAACTGAGCTGCATAATCTAGGTGAGGCCTTACTAATGATGTATAAAGCTGCAGTATGACCTCTGGACTTCTGTTGCTTACACTTCTTGATATAAATCCCAGTAATCCGTTTGACGTATTACGTACGCTTAGGCATTGCTGTCTTGGTTTAAGGTTGCTGCTTATCATAACCCTCAAGTTCTTTTCACATTCGGCATAGCAAAGTTCTACATTCTTTCATTTATCTGCACTGAAATGCATCTGCCACTTTCTGACCGCGACATGAGTTTGTCTAAATCCTACTGAAGTTCAGTGACATCTTCCTCTGAATCAATTATCCTTTCTATTTACGTGTCATCAGAGAATTTGCTCATATCACTGGTTATTCCCTCGTTAAGGTCATTAATGTATACTAAAAACAACAGTGGGCCTAAAACTGATCCCTTCGGAACGCCACTTGTTACAGATCCCCACTCAGATTTTACTCCATTTATGCAGACTCTGCTTCCTGTTGGTGAGCCACGACTCGATCCATGAGAGGATTTTTTTCTCCAATACATAAAAACGACTTGTCTCCTCCTTTAAAAATAGGAATTACATTAGCCATCTTCCACATATCAGACACTACACCTGCTTGAAGAGATATTTTAGAAACGTTAGTTAATGGTTCACAAAGTTCCATTTTCCACTCCTTAAGAACCCTTGAAAAAAATGTCCCTACGAGATCAAAATACTAGGCAGGAGATGCAACATTCCCCCAATGAAAAGCAGAGGTGCCACGAGTACACTGAGAGACAACACAATAAGTGTCAGGGGCCCAAGACTGTTCACCTGCTTCCCAGCATACGTAAGGGAGATTACCAATAAGCCCCTGGCTGTCTTCAGAAAGGCACTGGACACGCACTTAAAGTCAGTACTTGACCAGCCGGGCTGTGGTTCATACGTCAGTTTGCGTGCGACCAGCAGTAACAGCCTGTTTGATCAGACCCTGATCCACCACGAGGCCTGGTCTCAGACCGGACCGAGGGGGGGTTGATCCCTGAAACCCTCTCCAGGTATACTCCAGGGGCTGGAGATTTATTTTGCTTCAATCTGTCTACCTGTTTGATAACCATATCCCTAGTGACTGTGATGTTACATAATTGATCTTCTCCAGGCCCACTATAAAATTTAATTATTGGGATGGTGTTAGTATCTTCCTGTGTGAAAACCGAGAGAAAATAAGTGTTAAAAATCGAGCACATTTCATCTCCTTGGCTGTAAGCTCTCCGGAGTTAGTTTTAAGAGGAGCTAACTCTTCTCTTACCTTTGTTCTAAACACCTGGAAAAGCCTTTTGGGTTAGTTTTAGATTCATTAAGGCAGTTTAATTGTATAGTCTCGTTTAGCTTTTCTTATCCCTCTTTTAACCTCCCTCTTAATGTGTGTATATTGATCCACGAGATGGCCCTCACCTCTGTTTGTATATGTTTTTAGAAATTCCTCTTCTCGCCTCCCTCCCTGTTCATTCTTTCCCCATTATCTCTGTTACTGTCCTTATCATTTAGTGCCACTGGATTTTCAATATTCACTAACTCTACCTCATTCTTACGTTTTGAGTTTTAATACAGCCTTGTGCTTTCTACTACATGTAATCCTTGAGATAAATCCAGGGATTTCAGGAGGACTACAAGATTTATTTCAGATTTGTGACTGTTTTCAGATTCTTGAAGACCAGGACTCCCAAGTCATTCTTAAATCTAGTTAAGTTCTACATCACTTAGTTCACAAGTGGACTGCATTCCCCTCCTCCCAGGTCTGAATGATGACATTCCAATTACCACTCATCCCTACGCAGCTCCATACAACCTTACACAGTTCCAGACAGCCTTTCACAGTTCCAGACAGCCCAATACATCCCTCTCACAGCCCTCCACAGTTCCAGACAGCCTCTCACAGCCCTACACAGTTCTAGACAGCCTTTCACAGCTCTACACAGTTCCAGACAGACTCTCACAGCCCTACACAGTTCCAGACAGCCTCTCGCAGCCCTATACATCCCTCTCACAGCCTCTACACAGTTCCAGACAGCCTCTCACAGCCCTATACATCCCTCTCACAGCCTCTACACAGTTCGAGACAGCCCTGTACATCCCTTCCACAGCCCTACACAGTTCCAGACAGCCTCTCACAGTTCTAGAGAGCCTCTCACAATCCCACACAGTTCCAGATAGCCTCTCATAGTTCTAGACAGCCTCTCACAGCCCTACACAGTTCCAGACAGCCTCTCACAGTTTTAGACAGCCTCTACCAGTCCTACACAGTTCCAGACAACCTCTCACAGTTCTAGACAGCCTCTACCATTCCTACACAGTTCCAGACAGCCTCTAATAGTCTTACACAGTTTCAGACAGCCTCTCACAGTCCTACACAGTTCCAGACAGTCTCTCACAGTTCAATACAACCTCTCACAGCCCCTCACAGTTCCAGACAGTCTCTCACAGTTCTATACAGCCTTTCACAGTTCAGTTCTAGACAGCCTCTCACAGTCCTACACAGTTCCAGACAGCCTCTCACAGCCTTAAACAGTTCTAGACAGCCTCTCACAGCCTCTCACAGTTCTAGACAGCCTCTCACAGTTCCAGACAGCCCTATACAACCCTCTCGCAGCCCTAAAGACCTCTCACAACCCCTCATTATCGGACTACAACCACCCTGGCCCACCGGCCAGTGGGAGGTGGGCCAGAATGAAGACTGTACTGACTGTTTGTGCCCTACCTCCTCAGCGTCCCCAGAAAGACAACCTTTTATCAGACCCCTTGTATGGGTTTTAAGTTTCCCCTTGCATGGGGTTTTTTTTGGTAGTGCCCTTGCACGGATTGGGTTTAAGTGGGTGGGCACATGGGATGGGGGCACGGGGCTTTGGGGGCAGGTTTGTCGTGGTGACGGGGGGGGGTTTCTGAAGGGGGGGACTGGTTGGGTTTTTAATGAGGTAGGGGGGGTTGCGCCAGCTTGGGTGGGGATTCAACCGGCGGGGGGGGGGCAGCAAAAGGCGCCATGGTAATGCTCTTTGGAACAGCGGTCACCGAGTGGGAATTGAGGAGTCCCAGGTGGGTGACAAGAAGGGGCCGTTTGAAAGAGAGGACTGGGTGCAGACACAAACCACAGAAGCAAACCATCCCTTAGTAAATCACCAACGAAGAACAATGTGCCCTTCAACCGTCAACGCAGTAGGACTGCAACGTCATTCCGAACTACCCAGCTGGAAGCCTCAAAGGAGACTTACAAACCACGCTGAAGCCCCACCTCTTCCAGAAAGACAATCCTAACGACGCTGCTTAAGACCAACCTAAGGAACACATCCGAACCCCTTACGAAAGAACGGCAAGGTAAGCTAGGAACAGCT